GTGTCTACTCTCCCATGAAAAAGTTATTAAATATACGTGAGACTCCAATCCAGAGAGCAACTGTCCAGCTCAGTTATTGGTGGGGTAACAGATCAGAAAGTTTTACCTCCTCCTTCTCCTCACAGCTGCCCCGCACACATGCACACACACACAGAGGCCAGGAAACTCTACGCCTAGAGCACCTACCTTGGGTTTGAAGGCGATTAATTTCAGGACCATCTCAACAGTGAAGAGGCCAGTGAAGAGCATGTTGAGGATATTCATGGCTTCCTTGAACATGCAGCTCTGCCCGTAGTGCTGAAAAAGAGCATCCCAGCAGCAGTGTGAGGAATGGACATAACAGCTGGTTAGGAATCCACAGGGCCCCTCCTGACCTCCCTTCATGCTGAGGTTCTCTAAAGTAAATCTCAGAATGCTCTATTTTTTTCAATTTTGAATTCCCATCTCCCTTCACACATAAGCATTTCCGTACCTCTAGCCATTTTTGTCATCTGGGTCTGGATCTCCTATCTTTTTTTAAAACAATCTTTTTGAGTGAGGGTTACCAAAATCACATTCTTCATTCCAGTTGAGGGCTCGTTATAAATTTGCATAACGGTACAAGGCAGTTTCCAATCGTGTTTGTTATCCTTCCATAACACTTGGATTACTTTTTTGTTTGATTGCTACTGCACAGTGAATATGGTTTCACTGAGCTGTTCATAATGATACCACGCCATTCCCCAAGTAATTACACTTAATTCAGGATTCTATAAAGTACATGAGCAGCCCAAATCATGTCTTTCCAATATGCATTATCTTGCATTTGTCAACTCTGAATTAAATTTGCAATCATGCTGCCCATTCACTTAACTTTATTAAGATCTTATGAAGTTACTCTCTCTCTCTTCTATTGATTAATTCAAATAGTGTCTTCTGCAAATGTTGCCACCTCACTCTTCATATCCCTATTTCTAGCTCATTACACTCGAGACTGATTGCACTGCCTTATTCTAAGGTCATCTTCCAGTTCATATTATAAGACCCCATCTGTAGTTGCTCAACTTTGGTAAACGTTAACCAGCTGGGATGAATGTTCATATTCTGCATTTGCACAGGGTGACTTATTTACAGCAGTTTCAGTCAAAACAATTCAGCTGCAGCTGAAAGCCAGGCCAGGGAAAAATATGTCGTTACGGGGTTTTCAAAATTTCTCGTAACATTTTCCTTGAAAGACTCTAGTACCTGCAGGAGTCTGCTTAAAAACTTGGAATTTTACTGGAATGTGGCTTTTGTGTTTGCTGTCCCTTACATTCTTTGACCCAAATCTAGCCACAGCATAAGCCTTTGAAAACTGTACTTTTCTCGAGATGGACATAGACTTCCTAGAATCTCTAGAGATGCTGTACTGCCTGTGAGCTCACAAATATCTCACGGCTTCTAGCTCTACCTGCCCTGGGTGTGCACCATTGTCAGAGCAATTGAGCACACTTCAAAGCTCCAGAGCGAACAAAATAGTCCCCCTCTATTGCTTCATGACAGCGGGGCAGTAGATAATTCAGCTGAGAGCAGGGCACTTCCTTGTGTTCGTGCTATGTTGTTCTGATGGTACCTCAGGCAAGACAGCAGAGGAAGACAGCAAGACTTTTGAGTGGAGACGGGAAAGAGCTAGACCAGATGAAGGAAAATTAGGGAGGTCAAAGAATCTGGTGAGATTAGACTGGAGACAGTGAGAGAAAATAAAGTGAAAATTGACTGAATATAGACTTAAGACTGTTAATGAGTGATAGGAAACTGAGGCTAGTTTTGAGGGGAGGCTGGGAGTGGGGCAGACTGGGATTGATCTAGTGCAAAATGTAGTGGTGGGCTGCTTAGGGCCAAAAGAGAAGTTGGTGTAGGAGTGCATGGGGAGTTGGACTCACAGTGAGGGATAAACTAGAGAAGGGAACAAAGTGTAGCAGGCAATCAAATGGGAAGGGCAGGGAGAGACTGGAAGGGAGGTCTGTGCAGGGGTAACTGCAACTGGGAATCTCTGTAGTGAGGAGACGAGAAGGACTGGTTGAGGAGTGGGGATCTGGACTGTCTGGGCCACAGACCAGAGAAAAGAGTTCAGAGACTGACTGGGTGAGGAGGAAGGATGGGTTTTAGGTAGGAGAGTGACAGGCAGACTAGCTCTTAAGCATATAAAGAGTGTAGAAGAGAATGGGGCTTGAGTGGCAAAGGAAACTGGGATTGCAGAAATGGGCTTAGCAGGTGGAGTCTGAGCCTGACTGAAAATGAAAAGAAGGTGAGGGAGGCCCTGGGCAGAGACGGACGTGGTTTGAAGGTGAAAGTAGGTTTCACCTTGGCCATTTCTACATTTTCCCCATCAAAGTCTAATAATTCATCACATGCTTGCTTACTTACTTGCATGGCCAGGCAGATGGTGGTCAGCAGGATCAGAACGAACATCAGGTATTCAAAATAGGTGGAGTTGACCACATACCAAACTTTGTACTGGTACTGGTTTTTAGGGATGTATCTCCGTAGAGGCCGGGCCTTCAGGGCATATTCTACACACTGGCGCTGTGAAAGAGGCAAGGTAGATTTAAAAATCAAAACCAAAACACAGGGTTAGTCAGCTACCTCCAAAGATAATAAAACCACAACATGTTTCAAGTTTTTTACAGAAATGAAAATGCTTGGTAGAATTTCTTTTAGGTCGCAACCTGAATGTGTATATTCTACCTGTTGAAGAGTTCTATATGCATTTACTTTGGCCAGACAACACTGTCATGCTCATCTAATCTCAGCAAACCAAATGGTATAGGACATATTTTTAAGTAAATGTTCCTTGAGTGAATTTTACAGCAAGATTTTTTTTTTATCTGACTCCTGAAAGATGGCAGTGAAGCCACCTTAGTGTTTTATCTTGTTGGCAATCTTCACATGTTCCTCTCTGTATGTATTTCTCTCTTAAACGCTTATTCTCAATGTATTTTCTACCTTTAGTGGCAACAAGTTGTTGTAAATTACCTGGTTTTTGTCCAGCTCACAGTTCTTGTACTCTTGTTCTCCTTGTTCCTGAAATGTGACGATGACGAAACCAACGAAGATGTTCATCATGAAGAAAGCAATGATGATGATGTAGATAATAAAGAAGATGGAGATCTCAACCCTGTGATTATAGATGGGTCCCACATCCTCCATGTGGGAATCAATGGACCTATACAGCAACCTGAAAGCAAACAGGAGCCCAATGCAGAGAAAATCTGCAACTGCCTTGAGGCCTTATAGGTGATGCTATAAAGTTTAACTTTGTGATTTTCTTCTACTTGTATCAAAGTTACTTCACTCACAGCTGCGCAGACTTGCACTGATCTGAGCACAAACTCTTGCAAAAGAGAAGATTTGGCTCTTACTAACTTTACACATTTGAACCTGTTCAGGGGTGAAATGTTTTCATAGTTGAACAATTAAAACTTAAACCAAAAGCACGCCCTTCAGTTAACAGAAGACAGGAGAGCCTGTGTTGCGAACTGAGTTTTGTGAGAAAAGTTTGCAAGTAGAGGAACAGCAATTCCTGCAGGCCCTGAGGAATTTACAAAGCACATAACACTACAATGACTGCTGCTACTATTGCTACTGTTGTACAATTGTTGTACTGTACAAGCAACTAAAGCTGTTTAATGCTTTAGACTTATTTAAACACTTAGAGTGCAAAAGACTAAGCTCTACGTTTGAATTTACTCTTTTGAAATGAATGAGGACATTGCCAGTGTTGCACTGGCCCAAGGAGCACTCACTCTGGCCAGCCCTCAAAGGTTGAGACAGTGAAGAGGGCCATCATGGCAGTCAAGACGTTGTCAAAGTCAAACTTGCTGTTCTCCCAGCTCCGGGGCTGTATCATTGGCTGGTTGACCTCACCGTCTTTGTACGTAATGTAGTACCCTCTGTGCATGGAGAGAAGAGAAGAACATGGCAGAACTGCACCTCCAGGACCAGGCCCTGGGAGTGGGTGGCCAGTGAAGGACACTGAGTGAGAAAGGTCAGACTCACCTGCATTCTGCTGCTGTCTGCTTGGAGCTATCGGTGCAGCTGTACAGCTTGCCCTTGAAAAGGAAGAAAGAGGAATGAAGCTTCCTTTCCTGACAGTGCAAGGGTTAGGACAGATCACGTAGCAAGGAGAACGCATTTACTACTTGATTAACCAGCTATAAGTGTGTTTACATGCTCTTTTGTGGCTAGATGTGTGCAAACTGGATTGAGAGTTGCCTGCATCTGGGTAGTCCAGAGCTTTCATTTGCTTGCACGGTACTTTTATGTGTATGTCCTGAGGTGCAGACCACTGAGTGCTGCAGAACATTAGCTGTCAGAAGGGCGGTGAAGGGCAAAGAAATAAAAGCAGACGTAAAGAAGTGAATGAATAACCTCCTACGATTATTTGGCATGCCCCTTCCTCTACAAGATGAGAGGTAGACAGTCTGCAAGTATCAATCCTTTCGAACAGCCCCCTTCACTTCCCTGGCACTAAGTCATGCCACGAGCTATTTAGGGAAGAAGAAAGTTACTGATGATTTTTTACCATTACGGATGAAGGGCGGGAGTTCTGAATATGCCTGGTCCAGTCTTGGGGAACTCCTGGTAGCAGGAGCCCAGGTAACACTGACAATGCCCCAAATGTTTTGTCTTTCCCACAGAAGACTCCATCTCCCCTTCCTCAGGCTTCTTCACGCTATTTTTCTTTCCACCCCAAAATACAGCTCAGTGCCATGGATGAACGAATGGGCTCAATGGTTTTACCTTAAACAACTGAACTCCAATGCAGGCAAACATGAACTGCAGCAAAGTGGTGACAATCACAATGTTTCCGATGGTTCGGATGGCAACAAACACACACTGGACCACATGCTGCAAATGGAAGATAGGAACAAAAGTAACTTGCAGGATTGTTCTGAGCTGCTCTGGCTAAGGGAGAAGCCCAAGACTAGAAATACAAATAAAAGATTTTCATTTAACTATTGTCCATTAAGTAGTGTCTCAGGAAAGGGGAGAGAAGACCAACTTGTTACGTTCCTCACTGTACTCTTAGAAGCAGAAAGAAAAGGATAGGAAAATACCAGAGCTCAGCTCTCTGAAACTTCCAGCAGCACCAACTTAAATAGTTGGGCACCCACCAGCCCACAGAGGAGTTTCTCTAATAAAACAAGGCTGTGTTAAAACAGGTTTGTAAGTCCATCTGTAACCCTCGTAAACTACCACAATTAACCTTAGTGGTGATGCTGGGGCCACTCGGCTGGAAAGCAGCTTGGCAGAAAAGGACCTGAGGATCCTGGTGGACACCGAGTTGAACATGAGCCTTCGCTGCAAAGAAGGCGAATTGTATCCTGGGCTGCATTAGGCAAAGTACTTCCAGCAGATTGAGGGAGGTGATCCTTCCACTCTACTCAGCACTAGTGAGGCTGCACCTGGAGTACTGTGTGCACTTCTGGGCTCCTCAGTACAAGAAAGTCAAGGGAGTCCAGTGAAGGACCACAAAGATGATTAAAGGACTGGAGCATCCCTCCCGTGAGGAAAGGCTGAGAGATCTGGGACTGTTTAGTCTAGAAAAGAGAAGGCTCAAGGGAATCTTGTTAATGTATATAAATACGAAGGGAGAATGCAAAGAAGACAGATCCAAGCTCTTTTCAGTGGTGCCCATCGACAGGACAAGAGGCAATGGGCACAAACTGAAACACTGGGAAACACTTTTTTACTGTGAGGGTGACTGAGCATTGGAACAGGTTGCCTGGAGAGGTTGTGGTGTCTCCCTCCTTGGAGATATTCAAAAGCCATCTGGGCATGGTCCTGGGCAACCTGCTTTCGGTGGCCCTGCTTGAGCAGAGTTGTTGGACAAGACAACTTCCAGACATTCCTTCCAACCTCAACCATCCTGTGATTCTGCTGAAATACTACTTGAACCATTGCAAAAGTCCTTGTAGCTTGAAATATCTTGAATTTATAGTTTACAGAATGCATTGGGAGTCTTCTAACCTTTAGTCCTTTGGCTCTGTTGATGGCCCTCAGTGGTCTAAGCACTCGCAGAACACGCAGGATCTTCACCACGTTGATGGCACTGGACCTGAAGGAAAACATTGGAAGGTTTGAGAGATACAGCAAGACAGGGGGTGTGCTGCAAGGGCAGATGGAATTCACCCACTCTCCTTTGAAATCCTACATTGCCTTAGACTGCTTAGGATAGTTAGAGAGTCAACTCTTTGCTATGGTGCTTCAGGGGTAAGGAAACCACTCTCTGATGTTATCTTCACAGGTCTTGCCTCCTGCTCTGGGCAGGCTCAGTATACATCCTCCTGGCTTTCACCATCCCTGCTGTATTAACAAAGAGAATGGAACATGGGCAGGGTATGCTTTTTTAAGCAGGGCAAGCTGCCAAATACCCTGTAGATGTCTAACAGAAATTGTGCCAAGATGTAGTCATCACAAGATATTTTCAGATAAGGCTCAAAGAAGCACTCTACTGAAATATTCATAGACGAGTGGAAACTCCAGATGACTCCAGCTTTAAAGGTATACCATCCACCTGGAGTTTGATCCTGCAGTATGCTTGGCCTCTGATCCTGCAAATCAATTCAGTGTGTACAGAAATTGGAGGATGTGGAAACTCCCACTGAATTGATTAGGACAACTTGCGTACTTAATTTTAAGTACTGAACACAGCTATCTACTACAACAAAGCTCTCTGCGTATTCCAAGACCAAAACCCTGGCTGAGAATCTTCTCCGTGCTGTGTGACATCAGGCCCTCCTACTGATTTTGGGAACAGTTTTTTTGCTAACGTATTAAGGGTCTAGTTAGGTCTGTAAGAAAGAAACAGCAGGTCAAAACAAGCACTGTGCCATTCTTAAGACCTTGACTGAAAACCCAGCGGACCTGACAAATCCCTCGGCTTGACTTAGCTCTGGAACATGACATATGTGAGCTGCTAACCTGTAATGGTAACGACTGGGAGCTTATTTCTTCTCAGATGTAATACTGCTTAGGAAACTCCCCATCCGATTCACAGAGTTCCACATAATCAAGTAAATCTATAAACTCATTAAGCAAATTAAGAGATCAACCAACACAAAGTGGCACAACGGAAGCAAGATCAACTGTCACTGTCACCAGTACTCTACAGATTCTCACACAGCTCTTCAAGTGCTCGATGGTCTTCCATCGACCAAGACCCACAACATCTTAGGCAGCAGCAAAACATTATCACCCCATTTTCCAAAGAGGTTATGAGAGCTCTAAGAGGGAACAGTAAGTCACTTAACTGTCCTGAACCGATACAGTGAATCAGAGATCTTGGAACAAAACTAAGTGTCCTGATTCCCAATGGACCAAGTTTCTTGTTCTCATTTGCTCTTTCTGGAAGATCGCCTCTCCAGGTCACTAGTGTAGCATTTCCAAATTATTACCTCCCCTCTTGAGGATGAATTTTAATGATCTTGAATCATCTGATAAAAATACCTCCAGGCTCATGAGAAAAACCTTACCCAGATAAGACAATGAGACTGAGGTATCACCTCCCAACCCAGCCCTATGATCCCAAAGAACCAGCCAGTTGAAAATAGCTCACTCACTGGATCCCAAAAGAGATGAGAGAAACGCTGACCACCAGCAGGTCTAAAATGTTGAAATAGTTTCTGCAGAAGGAGCCCTTATGGAGGAAAGCCCCGTACGCGGTCATCTGTAGGAAGGCACATGAAGACACAAACACACTTTGCCATTAGCATCTGTTCAGAAACCAAACCCATCTGATTCTGCTCAGAGTATATAACTGGGGAGGGGCAGTACTTCTACCACAGCAGGCAATTTACCCCCAGACCCCAAAGGAGAAGTTGAGTCCCCATTGAAAGAAAAGAGAGTGAAGAAGACAGTAAGGTGACTATGAAAGACCTAACTAGGGAAAGCCAATACTAGGTCCAGTGAGGAAAATATGCACTTTGAGTGCACGGAGTACGTAACATTTAGAACCAGCAAAGCAGCAGAACGACTGCTTGCAAAAACTACTCTTTGCAATTATACGCTTTTCCCTTTTTTCTTCAACGGCAGAGGACACTTGTGAGTATGGTGCTTGTGTGACATAAAGGCCTCTTTAGCTAAATTGAATAAAAATATAAAATAAAAAGGGCTCTTTTGTAATGTTTTTCAATGCTTAGACCAGCTGCAGTGGACAGTTAAGCTCTCTTTCCTCCATGAAGAAGAAATGCAATCCTTCAGGGATTTGATGTTTTAGAGCTAAGCTGAAACGACAGGAGGAATTCCTGCTCTCTTCAGTTTGGTTCTTCTGTTCAGCTCAATCCTATATCTCTTTTTCTACCCCTATCCAGCTTCTTCCATTTTTATTGTAGAAGAAGTTTCATTTTTCCCCTTGATTTTCCTCACAAAGCCCAAGGTAAAATTCCTTGAGACAGAGTTGTTCCTTTGTGGAGGTAATCATTATGAACATCACCCATAGATGAAGGGAAAGATTTTAGATACTTTACAAGGGACTCTCTGCCCCTTCTGGGTACAAAAGAGTATTGAATACCTGCTGGTGTTGGGCAGGATGTCACGGCTCCAGAATTGGATTAAGTGACAGTGTAAACAGAAATGAGCCTCAGCCACAATGTCAGACCTAAACAATTCTGAGCTCAGAACTTGAATTTTAGACTGAGCTCAGTTACAGAATGTGACTAAATGAGTCTGGCACGGTTAAAGAGGGTGAGGTCATTGGGGCATTGGTACCACCTACCTTAGACTCCGTGAGTGATCTAAAGTAGCTGCTTTGAAGAAACCCCATCCCCACAACTGCTAATCTCCCTCCATTACCTGGGTTAGGAAAACGGGCTTCTGAATTTGGTCCTCTGGATCTCACCTAAGTTAGATGTCTAAAGTAACTTGAAGTAGACACCATAAGATTGTTCCTCAGTGATGAGCTCTAGCGATACTCCCAGCTGAGAAGCGTGAACCAGAAATTCAAAACGGAGTTTTCTGGCTCCCGCTAACAGCTCAGGATGGCACAGCCTCCTGGTGGTTTCCAGCCATGCCTACCTGTGACAACCTTACTCAGAGGAGGGTAGAAGGGGACATGGTATATCAGATTATTTTTTTCACCAAACATCCATGACATCAGGGAACTGACTATAAATCAGTCAGACAGAACTTAGAAGGGGAGGAAGTATAAACTCTCTTCTTGGCTCAGAATTTATACTTAGAGACACATTCAATTGGGGAAAGGGGGAGGGGTTCTTGCCATAACAAAGGTGGTAAAGATGCCCTTTACTTGTTGGATTTTGTATGGCAATCTTGAAAGAAAGGAGACACCATTGAAATCAGGAGGGGAAGCTCTGCTGAGTTTAAGTTCTATGCAAACTCTAGTTGTCTCAAGCCTGTTGAGAGATTCTGTTATCTCAGAAGAGACTCTCAAAGGTATATAATCTATGTCAGCCTCCCATCTGGGGCATTGAATTCTAGGATGCCAATTAATGTCACCTTGCTAACATTGGTGTCATCAGCCACATAAGGGCAGACGAGGCTTTTCTTCTGCAGCCTTGAACATCCTGTGGCCATTTATTCTTTTGTTTCTTACTGTTGACACTAACTCCGCTGTTGTGCAAAACATCGTGCTCAGTGCAAGGCAGCAAAGAAACACGCCCTGAGAAACCCAGCAAGTTGGGAAGCAGGAACTGGCAGCAGGAGAACAGAAGAATTTCTTAAACATTTGTAGTCCTTGCACTCCTCTCCCACTCGAACCCAGATACTATCCAGGAGTGTTGACATAAATCCACTGGAGTTATCAGGACATGGGGAAGGCTCAGGTACTACGCAGCATGCCAGCAATATGCTGATGGGTTGGCTTAAGTTCTGCTTCCACTGAAGTCATTAGGAGTGTTACCATTTCCTTCAGTGGCAGCAGAATTAGTAATTATGAGTTCAAACAGGTGCCTTGAACTACGGTTTTATTTTTAAACGTTGCTGCTGAGATGTTTTCCTTTTTTTTGGCAGGCCTTTTTGATCAGCCGTTTGGTGCGTGCGCGCTCAGATTTATCGTGCGAGCACAGATGCACGCTGCACACGAGTGTAATACGGACACCTCTTTGGAGAACATGATGGCTTTGGTGATTTTAAGTCACATCAAAAAGGATGTTTCTCTACAAAAATACGCAGAGGCCACCCTGCTTGCCAGCCTCCAGTACGGATACTGTTATTAGGGTCTTGAGCTGTAAGATGTGAGCAGCTCGAAGGTACTGCCTGCCAGCACTCGGAACCAGCTTGCTGAGAAAAAAACCAAGCTGCCAAGTGAACCTAGCATTTAGAAAGCCAGAACTTTGCTCAATTACTGTTATTTAAGTTATTAGCCTATCAATTTGGGAAAATTAGAGTTAAGAACAAGGCAGCCTATTTTTATTTTCTTCCACGCTAAACCATTCTCCCGCACATTTCCCTCGGCATAGAGCGTGTTCCCGGGAAACGGGAAGCCACGTTTCAAACAGGTGATGCAGCAATTTTCATGTGCAGCTACAGTCCTTGGTGTTTCAGTGATTTGTACTCTCAGTTACCTCTCCATGCCCCAAAAATTGAGCTTCTGCACTGCGCTCCCTGTCTCCTCCTTGACTGTGCACTCTTTAACCTTACAGAAGTCATTGGCCACCCTCTGGCCCGGCCTCATGACTTGTGCAGAAAGGAGATCTTCTCTCTGGGTTGCAGCATGTGTAAGAGGAGGTGTATGTGCTCAGGGTTCCTTGCACAGCAAACAAATCCTGTTTTGGAAAGACTGGCCAGGGTAGAGAGAGAAATTTACAGGGTGATGGCCTTTTTCTTAGTTCCCTCTTACTCTTCCCAACAGGATCATACTTTCATTGTGATTCCCCTAAAAAGCACTGCTTTGATACAGGCCCTGAATTACAAGTTTGAACATCAAAATTTCACAGAAGACTTTTTAAGCAACTACCAAAACAACGAAATCAAAAGATAAACAATTCTTTGTGTAGAGATAGTAACAGAATAAAAAAAAAAAAAAGAGAGCGATAGAGAGCAAGAAAGAAAGAAAGAAAGGAGAAAACGAGTGTATTGCTCAGATTGGTTACCTTAAGAATAATTTCTAATGTAAAGATACTAGTGAAGACATAGTCTGCATTGCCTAGGATCTGAAAAATAAGCACAATTGGGTTAGTGGTACTGAGCGTGACCCAGGAACAAACAGGCGTGTGTGTTAGCAACAGATAGTGGCAGAAAACTAGTAAGCTGGTGAACAAGTAACAGGAGAGAAGATGGGCACTTTACCTTCAGAGCAATTTCAATGGTGAAAATGACAGTAAAAACTATATCAAAATAAAAGAGAATCTGCAAAAACAAAAGGGAATAGGAGCGGGGAGGGTAGATCAGTGACCGGTCACTCAAATGGGAAATCACAGTTCAAAATCAAATGCCTTTTAACAAGGGAACAAGGAGGGCTGTACAGGAAATGGTTTTGTAACGACGTCCTGTTGAATGTGGTGAAGGTCCTGGCACACAGGACAAGAAGCACATCACATGAAGTCTTTTCTGAGTTACAACCCCATGAGGGCTTTACAGCTTTTTGGCTGCGTTGTAGGATTTTCTTTTAGTTTTCTTCTTTTTTTTTTTTTTCCTTTTAAATTTGATACAGAACAGATGATTCATGGGTTTTCCCAAATAGACTTCCAAACTGAGAAATACAAGGACCTCTGGGCTCTCAGTGAGATCCCTTCTTATTAAATTCTGTTTAAGCTTGTTCTGTGCCTCTCGCACAGGAAGAAAAGCAAACTGCAAATTCATGTTCTAGCTATTTTTTTTCTCTATCCTGACTTGCCCTGGGTTAGGACGAATAACAAAAACTCTGCCAATTGAACAAAATTCCATCTTTTGTATTGCAACCATAATCTGGTCACGTGCTAAAGGTGCCTAACTTAGATCTTGCATCTTTCTGTTGGCATCCTGGATAACAGGCAAGCTGAAACACTCATCAATCCCATGGGGATACTGGTGGCCTGCATAGAAGACCACAAAAAGTGGCTCTAGAGTATCACAGAAGGCAACAGCAAGTCTGGAAGTGTAAAGTGATTTTCAAAGTTACAGCGTCGAGGATGGAAACATCTTTCCCTGCTGATCAGTTGACATCACATAAAAGCAAATGGGAAATTTCTCATTGATTAATGGGACTAGAATTGAACTCTCTCTGTTTCCAATATCCCAAGCCTTTTTAGTGTGATCTGCACTACAAATGGTGAAAATCAATAGTATCATATGCTCAGTTTACTGTTGTTTTAGCTTAATCAAGTTCTAAACTGGAAGGCCAATGTATGGAAGCTGTAGAAAATGGACTGTTTGTGAAATTTAAACAACGTTTACTGCTAAACCAATAATAACCATACAGCAGTAAACTGTCCTCTCCCATCCCACAGGTGTTTTTTGTATCTCAATTCATAGAATCATAGAATCATAGAA